CATCCAACCATCATTCATCATCCAACCATCCATCCATCCAACCATCATTCATCATCCAACATCATTCAACCATCCATGATCCAACATCATACAACCATCATCATCCATCATCCGTCCAACCATCAAGGTTCAAGCTTCTTTATTGTCATCCGCACAAGTGGTACATGAGGTGGAATGAAACTGTGTACTTGGGGTCACAGCCCCAAAACAGCACAAATATGAAGTATAAAAAACAGTATACAAGGATCTAAGACATAAACTAAACACGAATAATGTAAAATTATATATACTAAGTATATTAAGCAGCAGCCCGAACATGAGTTTGTTGTGAGCAGATGGGTATGAATTCAGCAACATAAAGGCAAGAGATCAGCAGCATGGATAATCAGCAGCACAGATAAGTCACATTTCACAAATTAAAGTGACATCACAGTGATTATTCTGGTTAGAGATTCATGAGTCTAACAGCTTCAGGGTAGAAGCTGTTCCTCAGTCTAGTGGTTCTACACTTAATGCTCCTTAACCTCCTTCCTGAGGGGAGTGGGGCAAAAAGTGTGTGTGCTGGGTGAGTGTGGTCCTTCATGATGCAGGTGGCCCTCTTCCTGCATCTGGAGGTGTAGATGTCTGTGATGGTGGGGAGGCTGACTCCAACATCTTCTGTGCAGCCTTCACCACTCTCTGCAAAGCTTTTCTTTCTGCAGCTGTGCAGCCTCCATGCCACACGTTGACGCTGGAGCACAGGATGCTCTCCACTGCACACCTGGAGAAGGAGGTGAGGACTGAGCTTCCAGACCAGCTCGCCTCAGCCGTCTGAGGAAGTAGAGTCTCTGATGAGCTTTCTTCATCAGGCTGGTGGTGTTGTTGCTCCAGCTGAGGTTGTTCAGGTGTACACCCAAGTACTTGTGGCTGGAGACCACTTCCACCACAAATCCTCCTATGTTTGGTGGGGGGGAGGGGGTGGTAGGTGTGAAGTCCACGACCATCTCCTTCGTCTTCTTCACATTGATGTGAAGGTTGTTCTCTTTGCACCAACTCTCCAGATGTTCCACCTCCTGCCTGTAGCTGGACACATCATTGTTTGTGATGCATCCCACCACATCTGTATCATCTGCAAACTTTACAATGTGACAGCCTGGATGGGTAGCTGCACAATCATACGTGAGCAGAGTAAGCAGGAGGGGGCTCAACACACATCCCTGAGGAGAGCCAGTGCTGAGGGTTATGGTGGAGTAGAAGTTGTGGATCCTCACTGACTGAGGTCTGTTGTTTAAGAAGTCTAGTACCCAGTTGCAGATGGAGGGGCTTAGTCCTAGTGTGGATAGTTTGTCCATCAGGGTTTGGGGGATCATGGTGTTGAAGGCGGATGTGAAGTCCACAAAGATCATACGGACGTAGTGCAGCTCCAGGTGGGTGAGTCAATCAAATCAATCAATCAATCAATCAAAACACCAACATAAAAATATTGTTTTTTTCTTATTTAAATCATTTGTGTTTGCTTGTTAAAATAAAGCCAATGGAACATTTTTAGAAACTGCTAAAAAGCTACAATTAGTTTTTTTTTCTACAAGAGATAAAAAAAAAATACTCAGATGGTCTGCTATTTAACCATAAGACCTAAACATATGCTACATTTGATCCTATATTATTATTATTCACCCTTCTGTCATTGCCCCCCCCCACCCCCCGCTTTTATTTTGGTACCAGCTCTGTCATTTCCTGTGTTCTACCTGTACAGGTGAACGACCTCCCAGATTTCCTGAGTGCGAAGGACAGGGAACGCTGCCAACACATACGAATCACCTATGTTGCTGAAAAGCCGACAAGAAAGGAGCATGATTGGCTGCAAGGGGGCAAGAGGGAGGGGCTTCCTCCTGTTGCCCCGCCCACTCGCAGAGCCAACCACTGTACGACGATGACGCACAGCTTCGAAGGTACAAACACAAGCTTTGTTTGTTGTATAATCATTCCACCCTTTTAAAGTATACAAGTTTTAGAGTTTATTATGACATGTATGGTAAAATTAATCAGAATTATTTATTCAATGAAATTAATACATCGGTAACGTAAAGGCTTTACAGAAGGAATGCATGTCACCCGCCACCTTTCATGACAGCGTTAGACTAAGAAGATGGAAAACAATGATTTAGTCTTTCCTTGAAAATAACGTCCACATCGATGAGCAAGCTTGGAGGAAGCGTTAAGAGTGACTCTCAGCTACTACCACACCAACCTTTAGCTCATTCTTTGTAATAATGAGGGAGTTTGTGTTTTATATCTTATATTGCAAGTAGCTCTGTCGCGATAAACAATAAATCAATTAATCGCATGATAAATTAAAATTATCGACCTCATTTTAATTTATTGGCTTTGTTTATTCGTGCCTCTCTTTCTACTGAAGACACTGGATGACAAAAGACTCAACTCCGGTTCTTCACTGACCCCTCCCTTTCTCTTTAAAATCCATTTTAACCGTCCAGAATCGTGTTTTTGGATCGTTAAAAGCAGCAAAGCTGAGAAGTTAAGCTACGAGCTAAGCTAACAGGCCGACCTCGGGAAAAAACCTCCATCTTATCGAAGCTCCAAAATTCACGGTTGAAACCCGTGCCTTCGTGTAAAAAGATTTTTCTCTGCAAAAAGAAGATGAGAACTTGTTTACTGATTTTTTTATTTATAAAAGCTTTGTAAGACAAATGCTATGCTAAAGAGCTCAAACTACACCGAGCGTCTGCCATTTTGAGAACAGAAAAAAAGGAGAGACAGCCCATGTCACGTCAAGGGGCCTCCCTCCCATTTTTCTTAGACACACGCTGCTCGCTCCCTCACTATCCATCCTCCGGTTCAAACAGCCTTATACTGTCATCTAGTTGTCAAAAAAGTTACTATACACAAAAATGAACCAACATTTCTTATTAAATTTGACAATAATTACTAATTATTGACAAATTTCAAACAATATTATCGTTTATCGCAATAATTTCTGAGACAATTAATCGCCCAGCAACATTTGTTATCGTGACAGGCCTAGTTGCAAGTGACCATTTGTAGATGTACACCCTGAAAGTTTGATCAAAAACAGTCTATTGATACAAAAGATATTTTGCTAACAGACAGAGTTGACTCCAAATTGTTATAGGCAAAACTGAAACATCTAAAATATCCATCTTGAATGAAAACGACTCCAAAAGTGGATCAGCTGATGACGTGCATCTACAGGTTACTTCCTGAATGTTTCAGTAAAATCAGTCACGCTCAGTTCACGAGATATTTTGCTAACGCACACAACCAGTCATGTTCTCTTTCGGCGGTGAGCGTCGGCTGTAATTCTAACGCCCCCCCGTGTCTCTGCTTCCCCCTCAGGATATCCTGCAGAAAGGTGAGAACACGTCACCTGAAACTAACGAGAACTGACCCAAAGATCCAAACGAGTCTCTCCTGACTCACCAGGTGACTCACCAGGTGACTCACCGCCTCGTACGAAGATCCTTGTAGGAACCTGAAACCACCGGAGCTCGCTTTCACTTTTTAAGCAGCTTGAAAAAAAAAAGACTTTCAGCTGCGCTTTACGATGAAACTTTGCGTCTGATGTTGTGCTTCGCTGTAATTTGGAGTCGTGGAAAGTGATAAAAAAGACGAGGAGCAGGTGGAGATGGTCGCCCAGGTGGAACCACCGGCCTCGTTCTGTTGTAGCTTTTGTTTTCTTGAACACGAGTTAAATCAGGACTGGATCCTGACCCTCAGCAGCGTCTCGGTTAGCTCATGACTTATTCACGCTCGAGACGAGTTCACCTCATTAAAACTCTGCCTCCGCCGCACTGCTGTAATATTTATACTACATTAAACTCGTAAACAAACGACCGAGTTCAACATAAAACCATCAAATAATGAAGTAATTTAATCTCTGAATTCAGCTCCGACACTTTTACGGTGTGAATATTTATGAAGCTCTCACACCGAGATCCAGTTTTCTTCTGCACCTTTTTCAGCTTCTTTCTCGTCTGCAGTTTTCAGCTATTTCAGCAAATCATAAATCAAAACGTTCAGCTGTTTCAGGACAATCTTGCTATGACTGGTGCAACTTTAGCTTTTTGAAACATTTCGTCTTTTCTGACATTTTTTTATGTTTTTTTCAGGTTATTTCTGCTAACTACAACATTTGAAGTTATTTCTGCTAATTTCAGCTTGTTGTGCTCCTTTCAGCTTTTTCTGCTATTTCAGCTACTATTTAGCTGTTTTATGCTAATTTTAGATTTTTCAGCTAATTCCATATTTTCTGTCACTCATTTAAACTTTTCTCAGCCTAATTCAGTAAAAATGTGCTCTCTCCATTTCCTTCTTGTAATTTAAGCTTTTTTATCTTTTTTTAGCTACTTTTCAGCTGTTTTTCTTTTGCTAATTTCATCTTTTTCCAGATAATTTCCACTTTTTTGTGCTAATTTCTGCTTCTTTCAACCAAATATGGCAAAATTGTGCTCTCTCCATTTACTTCTGATAATTTAAGCTCGTTTGACTTTTTCAGCTAACTTTTTTGCATTTTTTAGTTAATTTTAGCTGTTTTCAGATCAATTCAAGTTTTTGTGGTAATTTCTGCGATGTTCAGCTTGTTATGCTTTTTTCAGCTTATTTCTGCTAGTTTCAGATTTTTCTGCTATTTCAGTTACTATTTAGCTGTGTTTGTGCTAAATTTAGCTTTTTCAGATATTTCTACATATTTTTTTAGCTCATTTCAGCTCATTCCACTTCCTTCTGGTAGTTTAAGGTGCTTTCTGCATTTTCAGCTTCTTTTTAGCTCATTTCCTGACTTCTGCTCATTTAAACCAAATTTGGCAAATATGTGTTCTTTGCTTTCTTCTGCTAACTTTGACTTGTTCTTCCATTGCAGCTACATTTCTGTATGTTTTTAGCTAATTTCAGCTGTTCTTCAGCTGTTTTTCAGCAATAAAGATTCACACTGCATTTTTGCAGGAAATGAAATTTCTTCATTTGAACTTTTCTTCTGAAAAGTGGAAGGACGGAGTAAAACGACAACGCTTTGGTGTCTGTCCTGTGGTAACAGGACCGGTCCAATTTAGACGTGATTTGGTCCGAATGCGGACGGTAGCGCAGTGGACACAGAGGACGCCTCGTAGACTCGGGCAGGCTCGGTTCTGTTGAGGTTCTGATTGTAAAATTTACCAAACCTTAAACAGGGTTTTATAAATGTTTGTAGTGAAACTTCTCTTCTGTTTGCTGCAGTCGGTGGAGAAACAAGGAACCGGTTCTGAGGTCCACCCGCTCCGTGTTCTGCTCCGAGCCCGAGACTCTGAGCCTCCTGAGGGCCCCTCGAGCACCAGAGAACGTGCAGGTAGTTTAAGGAGTTTTCCTCCATGAAGATTCTCTCTGGGTCAGAAACAAAGTAGAACATCAGCTGCTGTGGTGGTCCAGGTGAGGAGGAGGTCCGGCTCGGTTCTGACCCGCCTGCTGAGACGAGACGAAGCGAGCAGAGAGAGGGAGAGGGAGGCCGAGCTGCATCTGTACGCCGTGTGTCAGACGTCCAGACTCTACCTGCAGCTGCAGAGCTGCTGGAACAGCTTCCTCATCGTGGGTGGAGACAGAACCCGTCTGGTTCTGGTTCTGGTTCTGGCCCGCTGGTCTTTATAAAGATGTTTGTGTTTGTGTGTTCAGAGGTCCACGCTGCTGCTGGATCCGCTTTACAGGAGGAGGAGCGCCGCCTCACCAGACTCCTTCAGGTCAGAAACCTCTGGATGACCCGTTTTTATGACCTCGTCCTGTGAGATGACAGAACCCAAAGAACCCCGGGTCAGCTGTGTTCTCTGGGTTCTGTCACCGTTTTGGATTCTCTTCCAGCAGCTGTGAAAACAATAAATACATGAACTGTGCAGCTCAATGAGGCAGAGCTGCGAGTTCTGGGAGCGGCTGAGTCTTTGTGACTCAACACCATTGCCGCTAACGGTTAGCCGCTAACGGTTAGCGGCTAACCGTTAGCATCTTAACTCTGCGTGTTTGTGCAGTTTGGAGCAAACGGCTCACCTGTTCAGTCAGGTGAGCTCGGAGCTCCTGCAGGACGGGGTCGGCGTGGAGGACCTGCACCTCCTGCTGCAGGAGCTGAGCACGTCCGCCCAACGAAACGTGGCGCTGCGCAGACTCTTCTGGAGGGTGAGACGTCTCCTTGATCTTTACGAGATGCAGCTTCTGTAGAAACGGCCAGAAACGAAGAGTCTGAGGAGTCTGTGCTTCTGTGTCTCCAGTCCAGCGAGGTGTGCTTCTCCCTGGTTCAGACTCTGGAGGACTGTCTTCAGGGACAGCAGAGCCTCGGTGGAGCCACCACAGACCAGCTGCTGTAAGACTCCGTGTGGAGACATTCAGAGATCTGAACTGGGCCTGAGAGCTCTGAACTCTGCTGGTCCTCCTCAGACTGAGCTCCCTGATCGTCCAGACGCTCACTGCGACGCTCGCAGAGATGCAGGTGGAGGAAGCAACCGTCAGCCTGCTGTTAGCCAAAAAGTAGCCATCACCACTTCCTGTCTGACGACAATAAAACCCAGTGAAGGTTCTTATATATTCCAGTCAGTCAGTACTGATTCATGCACGGGGTTTGTTTGTCCTCCTGCAGAGGGATTCTGCTCTCCAGGATGCTCCTCGCTCTGATATGTGATCCTCAGATGGAGAGCCGAGGATCTCCGACGGACGCCGAGGTCAGCAGATCTCTGCAGTTGTGATCCTTTGAGGATTGTTTGACTCCATGTGTGATCGTCTCTGTTCCCGTCAGCTTCAAGCCTCGCTCTCAGAGTATCTGGACGCCGCCTGCTCTCTGCTGTTCGAGCTGCTGCTCTTCGGCTACCAGGTCAGTTCTGGCAGAACAAAATAAAGTTCTTCAGAGAAGAGCAGGACGGCCGAAAGAACGCTGGAAACACGAGAACCTGCAGAATTACAGAGTGAAGCACCATCGCCGCTGTGGTTCTGAACAAAACATGAGTTCTGGTTCAAAGAAGCGAGTTCAGAACCTCAAAACAAAAACATTTAACTAGAGAAATAACATTTCCTGAGAAAATGCAGTGTGGATGCTTATTGCAGAAAAACTTGCTGAAATCAGCTAAAAAAAAACATGCTGAAATGTAGCTGAAATGGAAGAACAAGCCTAAATTAGCAGAAGAAAGCAAAGAACACATATTTGCTGAATTAGGTTTAAATAAGCAGAAATTAACAAAAAAAGGAAATAAGTTTAAAAAAACACTGAAATTAGCAGAAAATAGCTGAAAAGGCAAAACAAAGCTTAAACTCCCAGAATGAAGCAAAAAGAAGTGAAATTAGCTAAAAAGAAAAAAAGTGGAATTAGCTGGACAAGCTAACATTAGTATCAAAAGAGCTAAATAGTAGATGAAATGTCAGAAAAGCTGAAAATAGCAGGAAAATAAACAAATTAGCAACAAAAAAGAACAGCCAAAGAGGCTAAAACAGCAAAAAGAAGCTCAAGTTACCAGAAGGAAGTGGAGAGAACACATTTTTTGCTGAATTAGACTGAAAAAAGTTGAAATATTGCAAAACACCTGGAATTAGTTGAAAAAGATAAAATTACCATAAAACAGCTAAATAGTAGCTGAAATAACCGATGCTAGCAGAAATAAGCTTAAAGGAGCATAGCAAGCTGACATTAGCAGAACTAATTTAAATGGAATGAAATTTGGACAAAAAAAACTTGAATTTATTTGAAAACAGCTGAAATTTGCTAAAATATGCTAAAAGGCTAGCTGAAACGTAGAACAAGCTTAAATTAACAGAAGAAAGCAGAAAGAACACGTGTGCACAGTTAGACTGAAAGAAGCAGAAAGGAGCACAGAAAAGTGGAAATTACCTGGAAAAAGCTGAAATGAGCAAAAAACAGCTGAAAAGTAGCTAAAAAAGCAGAAAGAAGCTTAAATAACCAAAAGGAAGTAGAGAGAGCAGATTTTTGCTAAATTAGGCTGAAAAAAGTTGAAATGAGTGCAAAAAATGTGGAATTAGCTAAAAAGGCTCAAATTATCTTAAAAACAGCTGAAATAGCAGAAAATGCTGACACTTGCAGAAATAAGCTGAAATTAGCAGAAAGAAGTTAGAAGAAGCACAAAAATGTTGGTTAGAAATAGTCTGAAAGGATCACAAAACAGCTGAAAGTAGATGAAAAAAGTTAAAATTTGCACAAAGACGCTGAAAGCAGCTGAAGCAGAACAAAATGTGAAAGGAGCAGTAAAAGGTTGTAAACACAGCTAAAGATCTGAAGGAGGTAAAATGAGCTCAAATCATTTTCTATGAGGAAAACATGTCAGAAAAGGCTAAAAATTTCAAAAAGCTAAAGTTGCACCAACACCAGAAGTCATAGCAGGATTGTCCTGAAACAGCTGAACGTTTTGATTTATGATTTGGTGAAACAGAACAAAAATTGTGGAACGAGAAAGAAGCTGAAAAACGTACAGAAGACCGCTGGACCACAGCTTCACGAAGAACTCCAACAGAACTTTGAAGAACGACTAAAGTTTGATTTAAACTGTAGAAGAAGAGACGCAAGAACAAAAACGTTCAAGCTGTTGCTCGCTGTGGTCACCGTGGTAACCACACACTTGTCACTCCCTGACGGCCTTCTATAAGACAGGTAGACAGGCAGACTGAAAAGTAATCCTCAACAAAGAGTTGCTGTGCAAAAACTAGGAGTCAGATTTTAAAACCTCGATCTGCAGGAGATTTATGATCAGACGTGGATTTTTTTTTGTTTCCAGATTTGACAAGGTTCCTTTAAAAATGAAATGAAGGTTTGTTTCGTTTGTTTCAGAGCAGCAGGTGTTCGTCAGCGGAGAACTTTGTGTCCGTCGGCTGGATCCTGCGAGTCCTTCAGCCTCACCCTCACCTGGTGAACATCTTCCTCTGCCTGATCTGTACCGCCTCAAACATCTGTAAATAATCAGCCTCTAACCTGGATCTGTCCCCTGCAGCTGCCCTTCATCAGGTACCAGGCCCAGCAGGTGGTTCAGGTTCTGTCGGGCCTGCAGGGCTCCTTCCTGGGCCCAGCCCGGTCAGTCCTGCTGTTCCAGCGTTGTCGCCTCCTGCTGACGTGTCTGCAGCACGACAGCCAGCTGGCTCTGCACCTGCAGACCCACTTCAGGGAGGAGTTCAGGTAGATTCAGTCTGTGCTGCCCCCAGTGGACAAACCGAGTCACTACAGATATCAACGGGTTTCTGCCCCGTCACAGAATGAGCCGAAGGTATTTTAACTGACCTGGGAGTAGCTGAAGAAAACTCCCGCTTCTGTCCTGCAGATACTTTGTGACGCCGTCGTGTGCCGAGAAGCTGCTGCCCGAGAGTCCGATCAGAGGAGCGACGATAAAACTCATCGAATGGATTCAGACTCACGCAGGACGAATCATCTCGCAGGACCTCAACAACACGCAGCTTTAACGAAAGATTTTAGGCTTTTTAACGTCTTAACAACCTTTAAAGAGTCTTTACTGTGTGAGTCTTTTCACATTTTCCAATTTTTCCATGCTGCTTTTACTTTTAGCTACTGTTCTGCTACTTTTATCTACAGTTCTGCTACTT